TCATATGATGGCATAAATAAGTATAATAAAAACACATGAATAAATAATATATTTATTTTAAAAAATATTTAGAGTATAATGTGATTGGGATAAAAATAAAAAAATTAATATATAGATAGCTTTATGATTTATGAAATTCTTTACTGGTGATTTTTAATTTTTAAAAAGTGGAAATATAATGTTTGTTCATATCAATACAAAATAAAATAATTAATTTATATTATCATACAAAACACCATCAAGCCTTATATATGTACACACACAGACACTACACGTTGTCAGTCCTTAACGAGCGGGCACCATTACAGCAAACCACTCGCGAGCCCAATCAGACTGGACATGAATCAACGAAGCTTCCTGTAGCATACTGTGACCATATTCTCTTGCTGATATACTCATACGTGGGAGCCACATTTACATCAATCAAGTCAGTCATCAAACGCAATTCTCATGCATGTGGAAGACAAACTCGATCTCCGAGATCGGTACGCTTAGCAGCGAATCATATATGGGACCAAGTCTTGTCTCAGGCAATGCTCTGACTTGATCTGGCCACCCTAATACCAACAAAGCCATCCCTGGCAAGTCAACCCATTTTGACCTCCAAAGTCCACCCATGGTCTGTCTCCCTCGAAACCCACACCCTGACAAGATGTTCCGGAAACAATGGCTGTTCTAGTGGCCGGACAACGACTGCCCATTACCGACATAAACACATGCATGCAGAAATGGATGCATTCTTCTTTATTGTATAACGTAACTTGGTTTACGTACACATGGCAACAACGTCTGTACGATACAAACAATTACTACAATTTCTTTTCTCGCTCTTCTGCCTTGAATCTATTTATCATACTGTGTTGGCGTCGATGAAGCTTAGGATCTGTTGGACCGAGTTTGCGATGTCCTCCGCAGTGCATCTGGTCTCGCTTGCAATCTGTCATGGGAGATGTGAGCGCGCGTGGTAGAGGAGGAAGAGAGAGGAACCGAGCTTGTTTACCTTGACGTTGAAGGAGTAGAGGACGGTTTGCTCGATGGTGGTGATATTGGTGTGGAGAATGGCGAACTGTAGGTCCTCGAGAGCGGCGATGGTCTTGATGAGCTGCCCTGGCCGGCGACGAGAGAGGATCTTGATCATGGCGTCGAAGCCCAGAAGCCTGACCTCGACGTCGGCGAGGCAGGACTTGTTCTCCGCCGTCTCCTCGCGGAGGCCGCCGCCGCTGGGGTCGATGTCGAGGATCTTGACTTGGTCGGCGTTGGGGAAGGGGAGGGGTGGATAGAATGGCTGCTGGTTGGGCAGCGGAGGGGCGTCCATCGCTGGTCTTGGAGCTTCACCACCGCCGAAGAGCCTTCGTCTCTTCTGGGACTCCAAACATTGCAGGAGTTGCTCCAACTCCCTCACGAACTCGATGGCTCCTCCGATGATGGATGCTTGATCTCCCTGGACGACACCAAACGGACAGAAACTGTAGTATGTGCTACCGCTATCTGCTAAGGGAGTGAGGAAGACGAGTAGGTGGCGTTCGTACCCTCTGAACGTATGAGCCGGGCATGAGAGACCTGAGCACGCGGAGATGCTCGTTCATCTGCCTCCTCCGGTTGCGTTCCACCGCGATGTGCGTCATCCTTTGGCTCTCCACCTCCTCGCTGGTCTTCAACGCCCTCGGCCTCTTCCGCCGGTTCTTGGCCTCCACGACACCTGCTGCTGCCTTCTCAGTTTCGCCGACAAGGTGGAGGTGTTGCACCGACGAGGCGTTCTCCGAGGACCGGGCCTTCTTTTCTCCGTCCTCCTCCGCCACCATCCCGGCCTTGTTCTCCAAGCTCGTTCCGCCAAACCTGTCTTCCCCGGCGCCGACGACCAGCTGAGGCGGAAGAAGCGGCAGATGCGAGGGCGAGGCGGAGGCCATCAAAGCGTCGTCGTGCAGCTTGTCTCCCAGCAGCTGGAACTTGAGGAAGTAGTTCTCCTCCTCGGACGCTCTGGATTGGTGAAGTGCGAGCTTCGGCCCCAACTCCGCGAACTGCATGACGTCCGCGAAGCTGAGCTTGTCGAGGGAGATCTGAGTCTGGGGAGCGGGATTGCTCAGCATATAGTTCACCATCTCGATGCTGTTCTCCGAGCTCTCCTGCGGGGCTGCGGTCGTCGCAAAGCCGGCTGGATTGTTCGCCTGCAGCAATCAAAGTGAGGCCCGAAGAGAAACAAACAAGCAAAGATAAAAAGGAGATCAGTGTGCGTATGTATGGTGGGCTCGTCTACCTCTTTATCCATTATATATGACGACGACGACGACGATGATGATGATAGGAGTGAGCTGACTTCTATCAGGCCTGGCTGGTGCACATGGACAAAGGATATCAGTACAGGAGACCACAGCAGGTGGCTAGGAGTTAAAGAAAGGTTTTATTTACTGAAGGAAGCCATGCATGAGCTAAGGAGGAAGAAGAAGACAAGATTTGTGGGGGAGTGGGAGGTGGAGCCACTGAGAGCAGGAAGAGAACGAAGGAGGAGTATCTGGAGTTATAGGGCTCACGTAAGTGAGTTGGAGAGGTGAAGGAGGAGCCTTGTGGTGCATGCATTGATTGTAGCCAAGATGAAGTCCACCTCTTTGCGCCTCTGTTTATTTATGCAGTTCACATGTTGCAGGCTCTCTTCCACCCCTTTTTACCTGCCACTTATCTTCTGGATTGTGAAGTTTGAGGTCAGTCCAGATACACATGGACTGGATTAGTCATTGCCACCGCTGGAACTGCTTGATATTATTCATTCATTCACTCATTATTTATTATTATTATTATTTTTGTAAAGAGAAGTGAATATGACAGGATTTAAGGATGGATATTAAGTACTATCAATGTTCAAAATCTTTATCAATTAAATCATTCAATATTTATTAATATATCTTGATAAATGAGTTTTATATAGCACCCTCCATATATAATGTTTCTAGGTATTGTTGTTTTTATTATTATTATTACTACTTTTCAATTAAAAATCTAGTAAAAATTATTCATGTGTATGAGATGCATATAGATGAATTAAAAGCGCAATCTCATATTACTATACTAAAAATCGAATGAGTCGCGATTTCATATATTAGGTTTGATACATTGACTTAGAATATTAAGTCTTTCAGTTGAATTGATGTCTGATTTGATATATATTAACAATAATAAGTTTGACTGAGATTTATCGTTATTTAATTTCTAACATGGTATCAGAGTAAATTAATCGAATTGCTATTTGATTGAACGAAGATGAATCTCTCATAGAAATGTAGATAAAATTTGAATTTTTAAAAGTAAGTGGAAGAAAATTAATTGACTGAAACAAAATGAATCACACATGAATTCTTAAAAATAAGTGGAAGACAATCAACTCACATGAGTAGAAAATATATTAAGAATATTATATGTGTGAGATGGACTGAGAGCATAGCCCTATATTACGAAATTAAAATTTTATATTAAATTAACATTTGACTTAATATATATTATTCTTATTCGATTCGACTCATACTTATTGTTATTTGATATCTCTCACAAGTCCAAAACTATTTTGGTTCAACAAAAAGACAAAGAAAAGATAATAATTTTGATATATATACATATATATATTGCTAAAGAAATATGAACAGTGTCTTCTTCTTCAATTGTGTATGAGAAAGTGATAGGCACAGCCCATCTGAGATCATACTTAAGCACATCACCAAGAATATCTCGATCTAAATGACCAATCAATCTTGTTTTGGAATATATGCTGTGCCTCTAAAAATAATGAAAGCCTCTTGCATATACTTGCCAAATTACAAGCATATTAAATACAACATAGCACACACGAAGCTCTTAATTAAATGGCATCATAGATAAGTGTCATAAGACCACTTGTCATCACCGTTCGATAAAAATGCTCTTGATGATCGTTGACTACCCTGCGTTGACTGTTGTGCCTCTTATGTCCCTCGTTCCGTGACAAGTCAAACTCACCGTGCATTAAAAACAGTGAGAAGAGAGGGCCGGTGGAGCCCTGCAGATTCATCTATCACACCACACAAATCGAAACGCCTTTTAGAAGCGGAGTCGTGCTGTGGACGGAAGATGGAGGATCCCATCCATCTCTCGTTTTAATTTATGGAATATCGTATCATCGAACCCGTCAATTTGTTTGATCCTACCGTCCGTCGAGTGGACCCCACGGTACTTCTTGGTATTAGCTACTATGCTTTTTGGAGAGGATCCGAGACCGAACTCAGTTCGGACAACGGGAGGTTTAAACCGACCTAAACGGCACTTGCGCTTCCTCTCTCAGTCACCTCTGCTCGCTCCTCGTTCCGCGAAGAGCTCACCCTTCTCTTGCGACGTCGTCGTCGCCTCCGTCCGCTACCCAATCCGAAAGCCCTAAGGGAGGCGATCCAAAACCGCATCCAGGGTCCGCGATTGACTCCCTCTTGGCTCCGACCGACGACGAACCTGAGGACCCGCCCGCCATGGATCCCGCGAGCCTTCCCGTGGTTCTCCGCTTAGCGCTCAGCCACATCCCGGAGGAGCGCATGGCCGCTGAGGATAGCCTCAGTAAGGTGAATTACCTGCCCTTTGGCTGATATTAATGTATCGATCGGTGACCATTTCTGATCTGGTCTGTCTCTGCTGTTCTCGACGAATTAGATTACTGTGCGATCGTGTTCTTGGTCCGTATCTGTTAACTTATCTGCTATTTTGATTTGGTACAGATTTTGATTTGAGATTCTTAGGGACCTTATGGCTTCTATTACGGTTTACTATGTACTATTTCACTTGTTGATCGATTGTTGATAATCGAATGCAAGTTTCTTGGTGTCCTGCACTGCACTCCGGTTTCAGGTGGAACTCTCACGCAATCGCTGTACTGCAATTCAACTAGTGATTTTGCCCTCAGCATAGTGGGCGATTGTGTTCTTGGTCCGTGTCTATTCTCTCTGCTGCTGTTTTGATTTGGTACAGACGTAGATTTGAGATTCTTATGGACCTTATGGCTTCTATTACGGTTTACCATATAATATCTCATTTGTTCGTTGATTGTTGATAATCGAATGAAAGTTTGTTGGTGTCCCGCATGTCACTCGGGTTGCAGGGGGCACTCGCACTCAATTGCTAGAATGCAATCTGACTTGTGATTTTGCTCTCAGCAGAGCTCACTAGTGGCAAAGGTCCATGTAAACAATCCCAAATAGGATTTAAAGCTTCTTGTTCTTGTTATCAGAGCAATCTTGGTCTACTAATTTGGAAAGAATAATTACTTTCCTTTGAGAAATTTGCCTATCAGCTGCTTTTGTGTATGATTTCTTGTTTTTTCTTGACGGTATATAAATCTTTTAAAGTATATATTAAATGTGCTTTTTTTTTACTTTCTCCAACATGTTTGTTTACCAAGGTGCTGTCTCTTCATACATATACCTATCTTTCTTTGATCTAGTCATGCTTTGGTATAGGTCTATGTCCTTCTAGTATAATGTACGTAGTACTTTTTTAAAAAGTTATATGCCCATGTCCTTTTTTGACTTTTTTCTTGTGTTTTTTTGTATTTCAATGATGTGGAATTTTCTGTTCACTACTTCGTATGTATTGGCTCATGCTTGCCAATTAGACCATGATGTCGGTATGCTCAATACTTTCGTAGAAATGAGGCTTATTGAATGTCATTCCATTAAGCAAATGATACAAAGGATATAAAAAGGAAGGACTAGTAAAAGACAGTAATACAGAGTACAACATTACTTAAACCAACCATAAAAATATAATTTGTAAAATATTTCCAAGGCACATTAATTATCCAAGAATAAAACCACTAGAAAATGTACCCATTAGATCGAGAGGCTCAAGAGCTTGTTGCAAAAGATCTTCTTGTTCCTTGCTCTCCACATCATCCAGCAAGTAGTCGGAATAAAACTGTTTGGAATGTTCGGGTAGTAGCCCATATGTTTTGCAAAATGTATCATGCATTTTGCTGACTTTAGTAGCCTTTAGATAAAACTCAAACATTCTTCACAAGTTCATCATTAAGGATTAAATGGAAGGCATCAACACCAATAGTTGGATATGATGCCAATGTCTTGATGGAATCCTGCCTTTGAGGAAGAGAAGGTCAACGAAATGAATTCTTCTGAGTCCTCTGGCCTGCAACAAATGGAAAATGTAGTTCCAACTTATTTTGTTGAACAATTAAAAATCAAACTCGTTGATGAGCTCCTCCAGATTACATTTTAAATAATGATAAATTCTTTCATGAGCTGTAAAAGACAGAAAACTAAGAAGTTTCGTTAACCTCTGAAAGTAGATCCATATTTCCATAAATTTTAACAAATGATAAATCCTTTGTTGTTGTAAAAGCTATCTAAGATCTTTCTAGTATCTTTCTATCAAATCTATCTTATCCATTAATATGGTTGATCATTGGTTTCCTGCATAAGCGCCATTTATTTATTCTTCAAAGTTCCACAATTTTAAAGAATCATATTTATCAATCGGATCTAGTTAATGCATATCCTGATAAAGACTTGTGTGCTCTAGTCTACCTTTGCCTTTCAAAATGTTGAACTGATATAACCTTATGGTCATTTAACTTCTCATTGGTGAATTGTAGATGACATGAGATATCAAATATGTTATTTTACTCATTTACTGATATTGGTTCCTAAGATGCTGTTTGCAGCTGCACTTGCCATAATAAAGTATCATATTAGACCCAACTACTAAGCTGCAATAATTACGATGTTGACTTATTGTCCCTTCAGTTCTGGCCCAATTAATTAGCTGAAAAACACATAATTTAAACAAGTTAACTATGTAAGTTCTGGTCCAATTTAATTAGCTAGAAAACACAGAGTTTAAATAACTTAGTTATGGGCTTTTGCATTTTCATCTTTCTGCTTCATATCAAGCATCCAAATACTGTCTGCCAAACAATCATTCATCTGTTTGTTGATCCAAACAAAAGGTGGAAAGACAAGATTAAGCATAATACAAGAGGAAGTCCCATGCAAGATATTACTTTTTCTTATTCTTGCCTGTGTATGTAGTTTCATTTGCTGTGACAAATTCAAAATTTCATTTCAACAGCTACAGTGTACACCACAGCATTTGGTGAGCTTACTACAGATCATAACAGATGGTGCTGGTGATATGGCTGTGCGTCAAGTGGCCATCATTTATTTCAAAAACTTTGTGGCTAAAAACTGGTTACCTCATGAAGCTGGTATGAATGATGAATCCCACGTCAGAACTCATACAACTTGACTTTATGCTAAACTATGACACTTTTATTGTTCTTTCCAGGGGAGCCTCCAATGATACCAGAGAATGATAAGATGATGATCCGATATATTATCCTAGATTCTGTTGCTCAAGTTCCTCCTTTATTGAGGTATATCAGTTATTGGTTTGGCTGTGATTTTTTCACCTTGGACACCTTTGGAGACTTCTTCTAATGGAAAATTTATCTTCCATGGGGCAACTTTTGCTTACCCATGCAAAGATCTGGGTTTCTTTTTTTTATATTTGAAAGTTATATATTTCATTGGTGCCCATCCAATTATTTTTTTGTATGTAACTTTCTAAGGACAATTTTCTGACTTTTCATATTCCGAATTTTTATAGAAGCATATGAGTATTTCTTTAATAGTTCAATGATTAAGTTACAACTTAGCAAGGTAGATATGCAATCTGATGCTGCTAAAAGGTGTACATATGCAATTTTCCCTTTTCATGACATATAACTTTATATATATATATATATATATATATATATATATATATATATATATATATATATATATATATATATATATATATATATATATATATATATATA